GCCCCGGGGGCGTCCCTGCCGACCCCCGTGCGTCTCTCGCCCGCAGACCCCGAGGACGCAGCCATGCCGGGCAGGGCCGAGGCAGGGGAGGCCGAGGAGGAGGCCGGGGCCGGCTCGGGGTCCGAGGCGGAGGAGGACGCGCTCTGGGAGCGGATCGAGGGCGTCCGGCACCGGCTGACGCGCGCCCTGAACCCGGCCAAGCTCACGCCGTATCTGCGCCAGTGCCGGGTCATCGACGAGCAGGACGAGGAGGAGGTGCTGAGCACCTACCGCTTCCCGTGCCGCGTCAACCGCACCGGTGAGCCGCGGGGGCCTCCGCGGGCGCTGTCCGCGCCTCCCCCAGGCCTTCCCCGGGGCCGACCGTGCCCCGAGCGAGCGCAGCGCACAGAGCTCTGCAGTGCGAGGCCAGGGCTCTGCTCCTTGGGCTTCGGTCGCCACATCGGAAGAGTGGGCTGGTTGGGTGTGCCCACCGGCCTGCCTCCTCATGAAGCCCCTTTATGGCCCAGACCGTCTTGGTGTCCGCCTTGGCGTTGGGGTTTTGTCTGCTTTGGGGTTCCTTCCCACTTCCTGGGCCCACATTAGAGCAGAGGGTTGGTTCGAAGTGGTCGCCGGTGCCGGCTAGGCCTGGAACCTCCTGGTCACAGCTGGTGGACTTGGCATCTTTCCTGTGCCCTTTGATCTCCCTGGTTCTCTTTGCCCCCTCCTCTGTGTGCCACACACTCCTTGGAGAGTTATTTTTCCTCAAGTGCTCAAGACCCGTCTCAGCTTTAGGAGGGTCCCCTCTCCTGTAGGGTGTATCTTTGAAACAGAGCTGGCAAAGGAATGAGGGTCTAATGGAATTTCAGGCATGGCGAATGGGAGAAGGATTTATTTTTGCTTTGGGGGTTTGAGGGGGCTTCTCTGTGTCATTGAAAAGGGCAGGCTGCATTGGCTGACCCTGCATCTCTGTGTGTGTGTGGGCGGGGGGTTGTTTTTGGGGAGCTGTTGAAGCACAGGTGGCATGGGGGGTGTCTGGCTCTCCTGGCAGTGGCAGACATGCTTGCCTCCCTGATGTGTCAGGACAAGCCCCTGTGTGTGTCACTGGCTCAAAAATCTCTTGCCTTCCTGATGTGTCAGGACAAGCCCCTGTGTGTGTCACTGGCTCAAAAATCTGGGGAACGTGGGCCCTGGGGCATGATGGGGGAAGAAGCAAGCAGGTGCTGGGGGAAGCCCTTGACCCTTGGGCACATCACCCCCCACTCCCCAGGGCGCCTGATGGACATCTTGCGCTGCCGTGGCAAGAGGGGCTATGAGGCCTTCCTGGAAGCCCTGGAGTTCTACTACCCGGAACACTTCACACTGCTCACGGGCCAGGAACCTGCCCAGCGCTGCTCCATGATCCTCGGTGAGTGGATCCACAGTGAGTGCTGGTGCCTTGGCCACCAGTACAGAGGTTCCTTACCCCATCCCTGTCAGGGAGGCACTCCCATTATCCCTGTAGAACAGGTAGGGAAACTGAGGCATGGAGAGTCTGGAGGGGTTTACCCAGAGCCCCACAGTAGGCCAAGGGTGGGGCTGGGATTCTAATCCAGTTAGTCTTGAGTTCAGAGCTCACATGCTTAAGATGGCTTTCTCACTGATATTCTTCTCAGGCATGATATATCTGGCATACATGGGTTTACAGTTTCTTATATAAAAAATTCAAAGGCTCCAGGTGATTTTAGAATAAAGAGTTCTTTACTTCTTCCCTCAGCTCTGCTCTGCTGGTAGCATTTTGGCAAATCTTTTTTTTTTTTTTTGCATATATTCACACACATGTACACTGCATTGGACTATATGTGTTGCTCAGTGTTTTGCTTTTACTCAGAAAAAGCTGATTTTAGTAATTCTTCCATATCTGTTACACATGTTTTAAGTGACTGCATAATGTTCATTAGTGAAGTTGTGACATAATTCATTTAATCCGTCCCTTGGTGATGGACATCTAGGTTGTTAACAGTTTTGCAGCATTGCAGTGATGTTGAGAACATCCTTGTATGTGCAACTTTGTACAAATATGTGTCGCAGGGGGAGAGATTCTGAGAACAGAATTTCTTAAAGAGTTTGTCTTTTAAATGTTAAATCAGCATGCCTCCTATCAGCAGCATATGAGTGCCCATTTTGCAGTACCCTCATGAATCCTGGGGATCATTTTAAAACATTTTTGCTGGGCCGGCCCGTGGCTCACTTGGGAGAGCGTGGTGCTGACAACACCAAGTCAAGGGTTAAGATCCCTTTACCGGTCATCTTTAAAAAAAAATTTTTTTTTCTTTGCTAGTCTGATATCTAAAGAATAATATGTTATTGTTTTAAGTTTATATTTCGTTGAGTGATGTGGTTTTTTAATTAGTAAACCTTGGGCAAATCACTTGACCTTTCCGTTCCTTAGTTTTTTTGTCTTTAGAATGGATACAGTAATAGTATCTGCCTTAGAGTGTTGACATGAAGATTAAATGAGTTAATATGTGTATCTAGCAAAAATAATGAAGTAAATAGATGTTAGTGAATACTGTTATAATTATTACTGGTGAGTTGGAGCATATTTTCCTGTGTTTATTAATCATTTTTATTTTGGGACTTGCCTATTGATAGTTTTTGCCTATATTTTCATTTGGTTGCTTGCCTTATTGATTTGTAGGAGCTCTTTATATATTATGGCTCTGAGTCCTTTGTTATATTTGTTCTCTTTTCTCTTACTCTGTTGCTTGTCTTTTAACTTTTTTTTTTTTAAAAGATGACCGGTAAGGGGATCTTAACCCTTGACTTGGTGTTGTCAGCACCACGCTCTCCCAAGTGAGCTAACCAGCCATCCCTATATAGAGATCCGAACCTGTGGCCTTGGTGTTATCTGCACCACGCTCTCCCAAGTGAGCTAACCAGCCATCCCTATATAGAGATCTGGGCCGAGCCTGTGGTGCACCCAGGAATGTGCGGCGCTGGGAGTGCAGCAGCGCTCCTGCCGCGGGTTCAGATCTTATATAGGGATGGCCAGTGCGCTCACTGGCTGAGTGCTATGCGGCTGGTCACAAAAAGGACAAAAAAAAAAACAAAAAAAACCCACCCTATATAGAGATCTGAACTCGTGGCCTTCGTGTTATCAGCACCACACTTCCCGAGTGAGCCACGGGCTGGCCCCGCTTGTCTTTTAACTTTATTACAGCTTTCGTTTTTCAGAGGTTTAAACATTTTTATAAGAATAACAAAAAAACACCCTATATAGAGATCTGAACTCGTGGCCTTCGTGTTATCAGCACCACACTTCCCGAGTGAGCCACGGGCTGGCCCTGCTTGTCTTTTAACTTTATTACAGCTTTCGTTTTTCAGAGGTTTAAACATTTTTATAAGAATTTTTCTATCTTTTCTGTTTTAACTCCTGAATTTTGTACCTTGTTTAGGAAAGCCTTCCCTACTGCTAAATTACAAAAATATATTACAGAATTTCCCTTGAGTGTTTTTATGGTTTGGGTTTTTTTATGTGCTCTACTATCCCTCTGCATTTTATTTACCTGATCTGACTATTCTCTCCCCTGTTCCTGCAGATGAGGAGGGGCCTGAGGGCCTGACCCAGTTCCTGATGACAGAGGTGCGGAGGCTGCGGGAAGCTCGCAAGAGCCAGCTGCAGCGGGAGCAGCAACTGCAGGCTCGGGGCCGGGTGCTCGAGGAGGAGCGGGCACGGCTGGAGCAGCGGCTGCGGGAGCAGCAGCAGGCACAGGAGCGCTGCCAGCGGCTGCGGGAG